GTCAATCCTATGTTAACGGAAAATATTGTTACCATCAAAATCAAATTAAAAATTAGATGAAAACGCTCCAAACTGCACAACAATAGACTAATCGAGTTGTTTGGATCGAACATGATATCTTCTTCAACCTCTAGTTGCCCTTCACGCATTTTTTGTCCATTTAACTTTCTCATTTCCCCGCTCGCGTTCTAGACTTCGATAGCTCTCGATTCCTTCTACAAACCTATAAATCTCTTCGAGCTAAGTTTAATGGTTCAATAACCATTAACTTTTACCAATGTAAGTCCTCGTTTTCACAAAACCAAGATCAAATAGGGTTGTTTTGATTATCTAATTAATACAAAGAACGCATATAAAAATTCAAACTTTTCACTTCAATTATTTATACGAAAAGAAAACAAAGATATAATTTGTTGTCACGTCTACTTTAGGATTTGAATGCAAAGGAGAGGGAGGCCTTTGTTTTGTAGGGCCCTACCCCAAAAAGATAAGGGAATAAAATTGACCAGAATAACTTTTATGAAAGGAAAAATAAATTTTGATATGAAGAAAAGGAAAATAATTGGAGGAACAAAAGGAAACAAAATCCTTCTTTTTGGATTTATACCAATAGAGTGGAGGGCTGTGCCCTTTGCAATAATTGTGTACAAACACATTCATCCACTATGCTAAACCTATTTTTCTTTATTAATGCTCTCCCTAGGGTAACTTGCCACCAAGATTCTCCTATGACGGTATTCAACCAACCGAATGATCCAAAAAATTTGATCAATTTGATCGATTGAATTATGAATTTATTTGAATTGGGTACAAGTTTGGTTGTTTAATGGGTTCTTTTGAAATTTGATTGTTCGTGAATGTCTTAACTCAACCCATGAACACCTTAATAGATAGGTGATACCATTAATTTTGGGTTCCAAATAGAGTTCTAAAATTGTCAAAGTAATTGCACGAATTTAATAGAAATATTTTCGTGTTTCTTATCGTAATAAAAAAAAATTGTAAATTTGAGTATAATTCAATTGATTATTAGGCTGGACTTCTATAAAGAAACTAGCGTTAGGTCAAACCCAAAACCCATTATCAAAAAACTAGTGTTATGATGTATCTTCTCACTGAAAATTCTAAAATTTCGATATCACGTATAATGTTAGTTTGCCTTTTTGCCCCTCGTACTCGGAGAGTTTTTCTTCTGCCACGACTAGCCTTTTTGCCCCTCGTACTCGGAGAGTTTTTCTTCTGCCACGACTAGAAGTTTGTTGTTGTACAGCTTAGGTTGGAGAAATCTTATAGATAAATAGTTGGTGGCCCGAACAATTCGAATAAAGTTCACAATCTAACCCATATATCTATTTTGGAGTTCGTTTGGGTTGGATTGTTGGATTGCCGTTTTATGTAATGATAGTTGTTAAATTAATAACTAGTAACCTAATGGCCCTAACATCTTATGTGACATTGTCCATTTACTTACTCCTTCCTTCTAAAAGTGATTTGTGACCGAAGACTATCTCCCACATATCAACATAGGTCTTTCCAACATGTCTAGTTCTCACTCGAGGTCACCCAACGTAGAATTGGTCTAAGCAAAACATGCTTAACCATGGACTTCCTATGATTAAACTACCGAAAAGGAAGGTGGCAGCTTATTGATATAAATAGTGACTTTCAAATTTTTTAAACTTTTCTTAGTCATCCTATTATTTGGATCACTTTTATGTAGATGTGATCTCAATTCATTCATGTACCCCTCCTTTACTCAGATATCACATATGAATTCTCCACTTAAAATGCACAAACTTTAACCTAATTTAACCAGTCAAAGCATCCTCGATCCACAACACGTGGAGCTATGAGATTTGAACATTTGACCTCTTGATTAAGAGCACATACCTAAACAGAGATATCTTATTATAAATTTCACTTCTTTTTTTTCATTAGGGATCAAGTAAGATAATGCAATATGTACCCATTAATTATTTTAATGTGTTAAGAATTTTACATTTACTAAGGTGTAAGTTATGGAAAAAAGTTAGCTGCCTAAGCTCATCTCTATCGGTTCTCTATCGATTTTCGTTTGATTAAGAAACATCGTACTCCTAAAATTGATCTAACCTTAATTGCATCAATAATCAAATAAAATATAGGTTATGTAACAAAAAAGAATAATCTATAGTTTCACTTTTCTCTTATTCAAGGATTGTTGTCCCCATCTCCCCAAAATCAATCATGATATCCTTAAAATTCATATGATAAAATTTTAAAATTATAAAAGGAAGAAAAAGAGAATGGAAATCTAAGTCTTACCTATGATTTCATAATGTGAAGGACAAGTAAACTAAAGAAAAGGTCATCATTGTGTCAAACTAAGCATGGACAATATGTCTCAAACTCCATCAGATAATAATTTAGGGTTTCGTATAAAGATAAATTTGTTCGGCCTATAATTCTAAAATAAAGGAGTGGTAGAATGTATATATACATTGCCTTTTGTTGTTTCATGATGTACCTATTCGATATAGTTCGTTAATATTTCCATTCAAATAAAGCAGAAAATTGGGATTTATAACGTGACATTCGAGTAATTGAAAGTACATGAATGAACTGATATCACATTCGAAAGAGATTGATCTTAAGAATAGCATAGTGAAGAAAAATTTAACATAATTAAAAGTTGCTACATATATTAATAAGTTGCATCTTCCTTTTTGGTAGTTTAATCATAATAACTCAAAAGTTAAATGTATTTTACTTAGAGCAATTCTATGTTGGGTGATCTCCTGAAATATTTTTTGAGAAAGTATATGAGTTAACACAAAATATTCTAAAATGACTTGTGTTGGTCGGTGGAGATAATTTACATTAAAAAAAATGAGTAACATGACCCTGTCGGGGCCATTATGTGCCACAAAGTATGTATAATTTTCACTCTAAAAAAATGAGATGTAAGTAGTAGACCATGTCGGGGCCATCAGGTGTTGAGTGACTTCCTAATTTTTTTTTTTTTTTAACAAAACATGTGAGTGAGGACAAAATATGTTAAAAAGGTTCGTGTTAGTCTGTGGAGATAGTCTATGTTGGATGATGAAAGTCCCACATCGGCTAATTTAGGGAATGATCATGGGTTTATAAGTGAGAAATACTAACTCCATTGGTATGAGGCCTTTTGGGAAGCCCAAAGCAAAGCCATGAGAGCTTATGCTCAAAGTGGACAATATCATACCATTGTGGAGAGTTGTGTTCATCTAACATGGTATCAGAGCCATGCCCTAAACTTAGTCGTGCCAATAGATTGGCCAATCCTCGGATGTCGAACAAAGGACTCCAAAAAGAAAAAAGGAGTCAAGCCTCCTCGAAGGTACGAAGGCAGTCAAAAATGACTAAGACTCCAAAGGAGTCGAGCCTCGATTAAGGGGAGGCGTTTGGAATTTAAACCTAATATAATTTAGATAGTAATTAATTAAAGGAATAAATATATGAGTGTCACGAAATTTAAGAAACCCTAGATTTGGGAGAAAGAGCCGACAAAAATACGCTCCCCAATACCCCAAAAAGTCAACTTTTTTACTGTCATTTTCATGAGCCCTCCAATTGGATTCAATCATGATTGTACTTAAAACACACAACCTAAAGTAGAGTCATTTGTATAAAGTTTTAATTTTTATTATATAATAACAAATAATTAAATTTTTTATTAAATTTTCTATTTAATCCATAAGATTTTTCGCTCGAGTTGAAGAAATTTTTTGGACGAATCAAAAACCAACGCAAGATCTTACAATCCACCTCCTTAGGGGCCTAGCATCCTGCATACCGCCCCGTGTCTGTAAGAGCTCAAACTCACTACTAGCATACATCCATCTATTTTGAGTTGTTGTATCATCGTTACGCGTCTGCTACGGAGAGGTTTCTACACACTTATAAGAAATGTTTTGTTCCCCTCTCTAACCGATGTGGGATCTCACAGTTAAATTGGTGGCTCGAGCAATCCGTTCCCGACCCAACTCAACTCAACTCTCTAATCACAAGTTTGGTCATTGAGTTGTTTTTTTCTTTTTTATGATTATTTAAAAAAAAAAACTTACTTATTTACCACATTAATTACTAAAATCTCGTAAAATTGAAATATCAAACCTTCACAAGTTACCACCTATAAGTGAGTTTGCTTACAAAAAAAATTAAATATTATTCATTTTTAAAATAATCTTAAAAATGGGATAGGATTGATTATTTTTGAATTGGTCGCATTGGTCGAGTTGACCTGACAATGTGTCAAGTTGCAAACATAATTAAATTTTTTATTATTCAAAGATTCAACCAACCTAAATTGAAAAACATCTAAACCAACCTGATTTTTAAGGTTTGAGTTGAGTAGTCTAAGTTGATCGAATTTTCGAGTCATATAAACACTCATAATTTTGTATAGCTCTCGAAAATTATTATTTGTCGAATTAGTAGAACGTTTTAAAAATTCTAGTCTAAATTGACGTGGTATTATTAATACTAAATTAATAAAGTTCATACTTGGATGTTCGAAAGCATAATATAATAATATTCATAAGTGAGATGGAGTATATAGACAATTTAAATTCCTAAGCCTAGTTCGCTTATTAATCGAGTGAAAAATGTCTCAATAATAAATTTTTTTGGGTTGAATTGGTTTTCGGTCATTTAGTTGTCAGACGTTTATTTAAATTTTTATTTTTAATAAAAAGTAAAAGTTACCGTGTAAAATATTTAATTAAGATTTTCACTCGATTTAAATATACATTTTAAAATGTTATCTTCTAAATAGTTGAAATTTATTTTTAAGAATTAGAGGAGAATAAATAATAAAAATTAAATAAATATATGTACGTGTAATTCTATCCTAATAATTTTTTTTTTTTTTTTTTTGTTTAAATTAGGGAAACAGTTGAACCAACCCGAACTAAACTGTACTGCTTGAGTTGGGTTGGGTATGCATCCCGGACATACCCTTGCTATATGGTCACATTATTTACTTTTTGCTTCTTAAAGTTAAAAACTTTCCCCACAAGCCAATCTCCATGTACCTCGACCTTCACTCTATTCCCCACAAGCCAACACGTGTTCTTTCAGTATGTTTTGTAAGGTCTCTCAACTTAAAATGCATTTTGCTACGTTTGAAAATTCCAAGCAATTCTAAGTTTGAAATTTTTGTGATTGAGCCACCGAACAGAGGAATGTGCACTTTATGGATATAGGCAATAACTTTCCGTTCTTTAAAAAAAAAATTAACATCCTATCATCAGGATTGTTTTTATTCATATGTGGTTCCGGTTCATTCTTATACCATTCCTTTACTCAGGTGTCACAAGTATGTATGATATATAATGACAATATAGTACAAAATAGTCGTACAATATCGTAAATGTCGAGCCCACCGCTAGTAGGTATTGTTCGTTTTGGCATATTACGTATCGTCGTCAGCCACCACCATTATAAGAAATGCTTCATTACCCCCTCCAACTGATGTGGGATCTCACAATCCACCTTCCTTTGGGGCCCAACGTCCTCACTGGCACACCGCTCAATGTCTTGCTTTGATACCATTTGTAAGCTCAAGTCCACTGTTAGTAGTTATTGTACAATTTGACTCGTTACGTATTGTCGTCAACCTCACGATTTCAAGACATATCCACTAAGAAGAGGTTTTTATACTCTTATAGAAAATGTTTCGTTTCCATCTCCAACCGATGTGAGATCTCAAGGTAAATGTAGCTAAAATTAAAAAAATGTAAGAGATCAAGCATTCACTAACCTTCTTCGAAATAAAACTAAATTTTAATATAAAAAAAAAATCGGGATTATGAACATTTAGTAAATTAGACACTTTTTATCATTTCAAAAGTAGATATCTGATTTCTCCCGATAAGTTTTGAACTTTTAAATTACATAAAGTATTATGCTTTGGTAGCCCTTCCTTTCATCTCAAAACATGTTCTTTTCTTCATCGTGCTGTCTTCTCAACGTGAACGGTTGAAATTCAATCGTACCTATTTGAGTATCGATAGACCATGTTAAAAAATATATATTTATTTTTATTTTATCTTTGACAATAAAATTTAAAAAAAGAGACGTTAATTCGAATTTTTAGATAATTTGTTTACTTTGAACGAATCTAATTCTATTTATGTTATCCTATCAATCATATAAAGGTACACTACGAACGATAAAGCTATATAGTGGCCGAGGTAGTACGTGTCCCCTTCCTCGACCCTAAGTTTTTTATTTTATTTATTGAAGAAAGAATTATTAGTGAATGTTTTTCTTAAACAAATTTAAAATTTTATGTATAAATGAATATATTTATGTTTTGGTAATTTGATTTTGATTCATAACGTTCATTAACTATATATTTAGGTAAATAGGTGCTCGTGGCAATGGAACTCTAGCATTTTAGTTGCATGCATTCTTTTTTATGTGTAACAGCTTAAGCCCACCGCTAGTAGATTTTTTTTTTTTTTTAGCTTTCCTGTCAAAGTCATCCCTGATTGATATTGTCCTCGAACTTTCCATAGGGTTTTCTATGATATTGTCCTCTTTGGATTTTTTTACGGGGCTTCCCCGCCAAGCCCAACGCTAATAGATATTGTCTCTTTAGGCTTTCTCAAGGTTTTTTTTATGTGTAACAGCTCAAGCTCACAGCTAGCAAATATTGTCCTCTTCGGGCTTTCCCAAGGCTTCCCCGCCCAAGCTCACCGCTAGCAGATATTGTTCTTTTTCGGCTTTCCCAATGCTTCTCCGTCCAAGCCCACTACTAGCAGATATTGTCATTTTTGGGCTTTCCCAGGACTTCTTTGCCCAAGCCCACCACAAACAAATATTATCTTTTTGGGCTTTCCTAGAACCTCCCTCAAGATCTTAAAACACGTCTACTAGGGAGAGTTTTGTTCTCCATCCGACGTGGGATCTCACAATCCACCCCCTTGGGGGACCAGCGTCCTCGATGACACATTGCCCGGTGTCTAGCTCTAATACCATTTATAACAGCTCAAACCCACCACTATCCGATATTGTCATCTTTGGGCTTTCCCTCAATGTTTTTAAAATGCGTCTACAATGAAGAGGTTTACATACCCTTATAAGGAATGTTTTGTTCCCCTCGCCAATCGATATGGGATCTCACATTGTCTTTCCATATCGCAATAGTCGGTCCATCCTACTCGAAGCATTCCACCACAAACAAGAATATTCGAGTTTCTGCCCAGAATAAATACCTAACAGAACCTACTTCAATAAATCTTTTTTTCTTTCTTTTTCTTAAGTGATAAGGGAGGATGCATATGGCATACAAAGATTATAAAAGGATAATACCCAACTTAAAGTTGAATCTGACTTAAATTTAAAGGTAAAAGTTGACCCACCATTTTAATGGACAAACATAAGTTTATAAACCTTAGGGTTAAGCAACTCAACTTTGTATGATGTATTTGAATTGCACCGTTAAGAATCACAAATCTCCACAATGATACGTTATTGTCCTCTACACTTTGAGAATAGTGGACAATCCTCCCCTCGAACAAAGTATATTACAGAACCTCTCATGAGGTCAATGGAGCCCTCGAACAGCCTCCCTCTAATCAAGACTCAACTCCTTCTCTGGAGTCTTCGAATAAAGTACACCTTTTATTCGACATTTGAGTCACTTTTGACTACACCTTCGAGGTGGAACATTTGAGGATTCTATTGAAATGGCTAAGTTAAGAACATGGCTCTAATACCATGTTAGGAATCACGACTCTCTACAATGGTATGATACTGTTCACTTTAAATATAAGCTCTCGTGGTTTTGCTTTGAGCTTCCCCAAAACGCCTCATATCAATGGAGATGTATTCCTTACTTATAAACCCATGATCATTCCCTAAATTAGCCAATTTAGGACTCCCTCCCAACAATTCACAACAAAGATTACGTCGAACAAATTTAATCTTGTGTAACCTTTAGTTTGTTTTTATATTAAGCTGACTTACAAGAAAAAACTAAACATAAGGTTTAGAGTTTAGGATTTAGCTAAAGAGACAAGGAACAAACACATGTACTAAATATAGTCTAGACTTTAATCTCACACTATACAAAGTTTAGTTGGTGAGTTAAATATCTTTTTCATTATAAAAAAATGGGAGACTTTGAGACGGTTTAAAATACTCGATTCTAAATGTAAAAGACCGTAAAATGAAGAACTAAATTAGATTGAACTAGCTTATTTATACTCTTGAGTATTATTGAAAGAACTAGTCACACATTAAGTAATTAAGAGAAAAATCATGGGTTTATACGTAAGGAACACTATCTCCATTGGTACGAGACTTTTTAAATAAACCAAAAGTAAAGTCACGAGCGCTTATACTCAAAGTCAACAATATCATAACATTGTCGAAGAATCGTGATTTTGTTCGGTTCATAATTGGGAGTTGGGAGTGAAGGTCGAGAAAAGAAGTGCTTTTTTGGCAACTTTGTGGCATCATAAATTTAGCTTTTCCACATTCTTTGTCCTACACTTTTGTAACTTTGGAATACCCAATCAAAGCTGAGTCTTTAGCTTTGATGAAGGGAACGTCGTGACTCACCAAAATCTTACTTTATTGCCTCCATAAATATCATCTTTTACAATCTCTTGGTTGGACCCTCTGAATTCTTCAGTCCATCTGACAAAGATGCATTCCCCAATCAAGTAAACATACCGTCAAGGGTTTTGGTTAGAATTTTGGATGGAGACTTTGACAACTTTTTATCTTTGTATGGGCTTAACTTTTCTATTGTAAGAATCTTAGTTCTCGAGAATGCTATATGAACCACGTTACTTTCGTAATAACGTAATATGTTGATTTATAAACTAATGTGACGTCCTAAGTGAAAGAGAAATACATAAATGAACTAAGACTACGTTTAAATGAGAGTGATCTTAAAGATATGTTGTTAAGAAAAGGTTAAAGGTATACATTCCTTCTTAGTAACTTAATCCTAGGAATTCATGACCTTTTAAAAAATTTGTAGGAAATATATGTGTGAGAAAAAAGTATGATAAATTGACACGTGTTGGTACGTGGAGATCGTCTTCACTCTTAGAACAATGTTACTGCAGGAGAATACCTCGAACATCAGATTTGAAACCGTATTAGAATTGTCTAATTTGAATCTTGGACATATGACATTGTCGAGTAGAAATAAGGTTCCATGGGCCTAAGGCTTTATGGGCCCGAGGAAAGTAACTTAGACTCTAACTTTCCTAGTATGGGATAAAGTTTTATAACCTAGTTCGAGATCCCCTTTTGAGAGGAGAATTGATAAAATTCCTCACGAATGAAGAAACTAAATGTTGCAAGGAATGGTTGGTGATGGTTTACTTCTCAAGCCTACCATCAACAAAAATGATGCGTAGAAGAGTGCATATATAATATCAAATCATTGCAACATATTTTTTCTAGAACATATTTTTTTTAGAAACAAAGATTGAGTCATTCAAATGGTATTAATCAAACCTCTAGTGGAGCGATTTGAATCACGATTTTAGAAGCGAATTTCTTTACTCTAGATCTTGATTTCCAAAGTAATCTGTTCCAAAACTTTTCATTTGGTTGATTTTTATAGTTGTTGGAATTTTTGGATAATTTAGATCTAAATTTAGATCTAAAGGTCGTGTTCTTCAACAAGGAATTTTAGATCGAATACCAAGAGTATCATAACAGTTGGTATCAAAGCATTAGGTTATTTAGTCGAAAATATGTTTCTTTGATTTATCTCTTTTAATTCTCTTTTTTTTTTCTAGTTTGTGTATCATGTTCATATTCTGTCTAAAAAAATATATAACAAAAAAATATATTATTTTTGTTCTTTAATTAAGGTTGACAAATTCTATAAAGTGTTAGATCTAGGCTTTATCAAACACTTTTTTCTTCTATTTGTGTGTTCAATTGTGAGGGTGAGTTTGTAAGAGAGATACATTGATTCGAGTGTTGAGTGCTAAACACGAGTGAACACAAGAGAGGAGCGCTTGTGCGGCCCTTTTTTTTCTAACATTACTAAAGCCCGAATGAAAGAAGCACAACAACGAACCATGGAAAGACTAATTCGAGGAATAGAGGAGTTGACAGATCGAATAAGAATATTGGAGATTCAAAATCCAGCTAGAGAGAGAATTCCACCACCTCCATGAGAGTTCTAATCAACAAGAGGATGATCAATATGCACTTGGTCGTGCCTTGATATGAGGGAGAGGTCATGGAAGAAGGCCTCGTAATTTTCAACAATGAGTTCCTTACGAATATAGAATTGATCGTAACGTAGGGAATATCAAATTAAAACTTTGAAAGTTTTATGGCAAAATCAGTTTGGAGGAATACCTTGAATGGGAGAAAACAGTGGAGTTAGTGTTCAATTGTCATAATTTTAGTGATAAAAAGAATGTAGGGTTATGCATTCCTCAATTCAAACAATATGCTCAAATTTGATGGGATAAATTGATATCAAATAGGAGAAGAAATCTTGAAGCACCAATTGATTCATGGTAGAAGTTCGAAGAGTCCATGAGGAACATTTCAATCCACAATATTTTCAACGGAACTTGGCACAAAAGCTTCAAGCATTGTAACAAGGAAGCAAGTTCGTGGAGGATTATTACAAGGAGATGATACATTGATGGATCAACCTGATCTCGATGAGGACATGGAGGCTCTCATGGTACGGTTTCTTAATGAGTTAAACACAGAAATTGCAGACAAGGCTGATTAATAGCCTTATTATGATATTGAGGAGTTGTTGCACATTGCAATTAATATTTAGTGACTTGACGATCTATAAACACCCAAATTACGGAGGAAAGCCTAGTCCAAAGAGAGAACTTATTTCAAACTAGGTGTCTTGTTCAATCTGTACCTTGTAGTGTAGTTATTGATAACAGTAGTTGCACCAATGTTTTGAGTTCCATTATAGTCCAGAGACTTAATTTAAAGACAAAACGACCATGCATGTTGGAGATTTACTTCTAGGAAGGCCTTGACAATGTGATCGTCCGGTAATTTATGATGGGTATGCAAATTGATACTCTTTTACTCACAATGATAGAAAAAACTACTCTAATTCCATTGTCTCCAAATGATAATCAAGAGAACACTCAAGTTTGGAGAGAGAAAAAAAAAAAAAAAAAAAAAAAAAAAAAAAAAAAAAAAAAAAAAAAAAAAAAAAAAAAAAAAAAA